CCCAGACTGCTGCTGGCAAGGACATCCCCAACTCCGAGGGGAGGTTTGGGCCCCGCGTGCCTCCGGCCCCCTCCAGAGATCATTCAAGAGGGGGGCCCTCGGGTGGCCCCAGTGCCCTGGAGGTGCCACCTGTGCCAACAGCCCTGGGCTGGGTAGAAGTTCCTCTCCCTTCAGGCTCTGCAGCTCAGTGACAGTGAAGAGAGCTGAACAAATGATAAGACTGCAGGATGGGATGGGAGGGAACAGAATTAGAACTAGAACAGAACAGAATAAATGGAGAAATAGAATTAGAACTAGAACTACACTAGAATATAGAATAGAATAATAGAGAATAGAACAGAGTTCGAACTAGAACAGAATAGAAGAGGCAGGAGGGGTAGCTCATTGTGCTGAATGGAGGGAGGGGGCTCCCACACCTGGGTTTGACCTCCAGGGAGATTGGGGGAGGGGTCAGGCACTTCCCAAGCTCTCGCCTCCCCCCCTCCCCGGATGGAGGCGGTGCCCAATCGCTGGCATGAAGCTTCACCGGGCATCCTGGGAGATACTTGGGGGGGGGGGGTTAGTACCCAGTAGCCACCAACGAAGGGCCAGGTGAGGCATTTGGGGGTGCAGCAAAGGACCCCACTCTTGGGGGGCAGATGCTGTGTATTTGGGGAGCCACCACCAATAAGCAGCAGGGCCACCCAATCACCCCCACATCAGTGGGGTGCCACTGGCGACCCTCAGCCCCACTTGGGCCAAACCCGCCTTCCCACTCCCAGGTTCTGGACTGAATCCCCCCCCAAAGGTCACACTCGCGGGGCACAAACCCCAATGCTTAGAATGCTCAGAATGGAACATTCCCTCAAGCAACTTTCACACGTCCCTCCCTCATGAATTCAACCGAGCCTCCAGTCACCAAAGCCGCCATCTTCTCCCTTTCCAAACGTTGTTGCTAGTCCTCAGGAAGGTCAAGCCTCTCGCTGGCTGGCTGAAGACCTCTGGGGTTAGAGCAACCCTCTTTCCCCCCTCCCCAGAGCCCTCCCCCTCTCCCCTTCCTCACCTACCCCCTCACACAGCGCTTCCCCTGTGAAGAGGACCAGGGCACCCCTGGGCCCACGCAGAGTTCATCGGGGAGTTCAGCCGTGGCATGGCTGGTGTCCCAGTGCCGAGGGAGGGGGGGATTCTCTCTCTGCACCCCAAGGTTAGGCCTGGCACCGCCAAGCAGAAGCCGGCTTGCCAAGGACGGACTAACATGCCCCCCGTAGCCGGAGATGGGCCGTTTTGCCAACCCGGGACAGAGAGAGAGACAACTGGGGAACTTGGCAGGGCATTTGGCATCCAAATAAGGCCCTGGCCAGGTGCCGCCACCGCCGCACGATGGCAACCGGCAAAAGCAGAAAGGGGGGAGGGCGGCTGACCCCCAAAAGGTTCAGGTTCAGAGGCGGAGCAAAGCTTTGGCACCACGAATACATCAGAGTGGAGGTGAAACCGCATGAAGAAGCAGGAATGACTCTCAGAACCAGGGGCGACAGGATAACAGTGTTTCAATATTGGGGGGGCGGGGGCTGCCCCAAAGAAGAGGGGGTCCCCTTGTATCCCAAAGCCCCAGAAGGCAGAAGAATAGCAATAGCAATAG